TTTTTTTTTAGGCAGAGTTTCATTATGTCGCCCTTGGTAGAATGCCATGGCATCACAGCTCACAGCTACCTCAAACTCTTAGGCTTAAGTGATCCTCTTGCCTTAGCCTCCCAAATAGCTGGGACTACAGGTGTCTGCCACAATGCCTGGCTATTTTTCAGTTGTAGTTGTCATTGTTGTTTGACAGGCACAGGCTGGATTCAAACCCACCAGTTTCACCATATGTGGCTGGTGTCCTTAGCCGCTGAGCTTCCAGTGCCGAGCCAACCTTAGATCAAACATGTTTTATATTAAACATCTACATAATATTACACTTTATAATTATAACAAAAAAATTTTAGGCCGTTCTCTACTGATGACTTTTTTTGTTTTATTAGACAAAACACTGTAAATATACATTCTTCGTCTCAGAATGAATCATGTCTTTCGGGCCAGGAGCAGTGGCTTGTGCCTTAATCCCAACACTTGGGAGGCTGAGGCAGGTGGATTGCCTGAGTTCACAGGTTCAAGACCAGCGTAAGCCAGAGAAGACCCCTTCTCTAAAGATAGCTGGGCATTGTGGCAGGTACCTGTGGTCTTAGCTACTTGGGAGGCTGAGGCAAGAGAATCACTTAAGCCCAAGAGTTTGAGGTTGCTGTGAGTTATGATTCCACAGCACTCTCCTAAGGGTAACAAAGTCAGACTCTGTTTCAAAAAAAAAAAAAAAATCATGTCTGAGTTTTACCCATATCTGATTTAAATGAGACTATTCGATTTGACTTTAAATCTGATACTGAAACAAGTTAAGACTTTTGGGGGCTATTAGTATAAAATGAATTCATTTTGCATGTGCAAAGGATACGAATTTTAGGGCTCCAGGAATGCTATGGTTTGAATGTGTCCTATCCAAAATTTATTGGTTGAAAACTTAATCCCCAGTGCAACACCACTGAGAGATGGACTTTTTGAGAAGTGTTTAGGAGCAGCCCCTGTGGCTCAACAGGGTAGGGTGCCGGCCCCATATGCCGGAGGTGATGGGTTCAAGCCCAGGTCCTGGCCAAAAACTGCAAAAAAAAAAAAAAAAAAAGAAGGGTCTCTGTCTTTCCTTCCCATGTAATGATGCCCTTGCTAGATGTCAGCACCTGGATCTTGGACTTCCCAGCCTCTGGGACTATGAAAACTAAATTTCTGTTTTTTATAAATTACCCAACCTATAGTATCCTGTTATAAGAGCATAAACAGATAAGAAACCCAGCCATGATCACCACTGTACTATGTACATATCTCCATTAGAGTATGTTGTAACATTACGGTAATTGATACTTATATAGCTCTTTCATTACACCATTATTGAGGGCACAAACTAAACTGTATATTTCTTTGTAATTAATATACTCAATGAATGTTGTACTTCACACACAGTAGATACTCTGCAAATGCTTAATGTTGGGAGTTGAATTTCAGAGGTAAATTAATAAAAGTTATTCATCTCAAGATCTCTTGGGGCAGTACCTGTGGCTCAAAGGAGTAAGGCGCCAGCCCCATATAGCAGAGGTGGCGGGTTCAAACCCAGCCCTGGCCAAAAACTGCAAAAAAAAAAATATCTCTTTAGGTATCAGTTCAAATTACATACTGTAAATTAATCACTACTCCCAGACTGCACATTTGTCACATTTTTCAATAGCAACATATACTTTTTTTTTTTTTTTTGGAGACAGAGTCTCAGACTGTTGCCCTGGGTAGAGGCCATGGAGTCACAGCTTACAGCAACCTCAAACACTTGGGTTTAAGCGATTCTCTTGCCTCCGCCTCTCAAGTGCCTGGGACTACAGGTGCCAGCCACAACACCCGGCTATTTTTTGGTTGTAGTTGTCATTGTTGTTTGGCAGGCCAGGGCTGGATTCAAACCCATCAGCTGCAGTGTATGTGGCTGGTGCTCAAGCCGCTTGAGCTACAGGTGCTAAGCCATAACATATACCTTTCAATGTAAGTTATTTAAAAATATTAAGCTATCAGAGTTTGAGTATCATCTTAAGTCAATGTTTACAGTCTATCTGTAAACATTCACTGGTGAGAAACACAAGAACATTTTTTTTTTTTTTTAAGAGACAAGAGTTTTACTTTGAAACCCTCAGTAGAGTGCCATGGAATCCTAACTCACAGTAACCTCAAACTCTTAGGCTCAAGCAATTCTCTTGCCTCAGCTTCCCAAGTAGCTGGGACTACAGGAGTCCGCCACAATGCCCTGCTGTCTTTTAGAGACAAGGTTTTGTTCTGGCTTAAGCTGGTCTTGAACCTATGAGCTCAGGCAATCTATCTGTGTCAGCCTCCCAGAGTGCTAGGATTACAGGCATGAGTCAGGGCACCTGGCTACCGAAGGGTTTTTCCAGAATGCCTTCTTCACTTAAAGGAATGTGACCATGAGCCTTTATAGACTTTCTCACTGGTGACTCCATCATTGCTTAGCACGTCAGGATTCTATCAGCCAGGTTATTCTCTTCTACACGTATATTTCTTCTATTTGGGAGCTCTTCTTCAGTGCTTTTATTCTCTAGCAACATGTAAAGAATGTTTATGCTTATAATAACCTTAATACTTAGTATGACACTAATATGTGCCCATAAGACAGACTGAGCATTATTCACTTACCCCAAACAAGGTATCCTTTAGAGAATTACAAGTTGTTCAACACATACTGCCTAGAGGACAGCCCAAAGATTCTGATCAACTTATCTGTATAACACCTCTGTTCCACTTGAATGCAATGTTCTTTCACCAACCCTATAAAGTCTGCATATATTCACTGAAGAATAGTGAGTAAAATACGAAACTAGGAATATGTCCCCTTGAGGTTGGCACAGTGCAAAGGAATGAAGAAAGTAGAGAGGAATAGGAAGTTTGTATTAAATTCTAATACCTTGGGCAAGAATTTATACAATCTCATACAACAGGGAGTTTTATGCAAAGTATAGAACCTCTACTGTTTTGGGTTTTTTTTGAGACAGAGCCTCAAGCTACCCGCCTGGGTAGAGTGCTGTGGCATCTTAGCTCACAGCAACCTCCAACTCCTGGGCTTAAGCGAGTCTCCTGCCTCAGCCTCCCAAGTAGCTGGGACCACAGGCGCCCACCACAACACCGGGCTATTTTTTGGTTGTAGCCATCATTGTTGTTTGGTGGGCCTGGGCTGGATTAGAACCCACCAGCTTAGGTGTATGTAGCTGGCACCTTAGCCACTTGAGCCACAGGTGTCGAGCCAGAGAACCTCTATTGTTGACCACGTTCCAACATTAACCACCTCCCTTAAGTTGACCTAATTTTCATAGACCAGACTTGTACCACATGTACATAATCAGTACAAGAGGCCTAGTTCCTGATGTAGACCACCTCTCTATGTCAACCAGTTTGTTATAGCCCCTTGGGCGGTCAACTTATACAAGTTCTACTATACTTAAAGCAAAGTACACAGTTTCATGATGTACCCCTAAAGAGGATAAAAAAATAGTTCTGAAAAAGCTACTACATGTGACAAATGTTGTACAACTTTTAAAGATAAAGTTGAGATACTACAACTCTAAAAATCTTACCCTGGCCAGTGGCTCACACATGCAATCCTAGCACTCTAGGAGGCCAAGACAGGTAGACTGCTTGAGCTCAGGAGTTGGTGACCACCTGAGAAAGAGCGGGACATTGTCTCTACTAAAAACAGAAAAATTATTGTTGTACTAGCAACTTGGGAGGCTAAGGGAAAAGGAACACTTCAGTCCAAGAGTTTGTGGTTATGAGCTATGATTCTGCCATGGCATTCAACCCAAGGTGACAGAGTAAGACTGTCTCAAAAATAAATAAAAATAAAATAAAAACCTTATCCTATGTTTTATCAAAAAATGGCATCCTATAGCAAGGCTAACAATTTAGTGAAAGTAGAAAGAAATAAGGCTTACAAAACAAAAAAATTTTGAATATAGATTTAAAAGAAAACTTAATCTACTTCATGATCCCTTAGGTTAACTATAAAATTTTTACTTCTTTTTTGTTTTGACATTTGAAAATTATGAAAGCTGGTAGTTTTGTCTTCTATTACTGAAATAATTTATTTATCACTACAGATGGTGTTAATATAATGCATAAAGAATATCACTGAGAATCTTAAATATAACTCTTGAGACCTCCCCTCATTCTACGTGTGTGTAAATGCATAATCTATTATACAAAGAAAAATGCCACATAAATCATCATGATACTCTAAAAGAAAATTTAAGAAAAAACAAAAAGTGTTGTCTTTTAAACTTCAATATTATAGTAATTCTCAGAAGTAACAATCTATGTAGAATCTGTATTAATGTGTAGCATTTAAAAATAATGGACTTTGGAGTAAAAGAGAACTAGACTTAAGTCTATAACTCTTGCTGTGCAGCCTTGGGAAAACTACTTAATATACCTGGGGTTCAGTTTCTTCAGCTATAAAATGAGATTTACTACTACCTCATAGAGGTGCAGCCAGGACAAAAGAAGATAATACATGGAAAACTAAGTGCCTCATGCAAAAAAGCAGAATAATCATTAGCTAATGTTATTATGAATACTATTAATATAGTTGTCCAAGATACATATCTGATGATGTGATTACATTACAGATTTTTTTCTATTTACCTACCCTGACAGAATGTGCAAATCTTTTCTTTGGTATGAGAAAAAAAAATGGGTGTGAATGGAAGTTTTTCTCATTTCATCCATTTTACAAACTTAAGTGATTTATGAAGATAAACAAAAAATTTACATTTTAAGGATATTTTTGTATTTGTCACAAAGATTATCAATGTCTTTACATGAAATAGTATCTACATAATACAGTCTTACTGAACTATTTAACAATGTTTACACACAATACATAAGTACTTTTGAAACTATGAAGTTCTTTGATAACTGCAATATCATTTTCAAACAAGCAGAGTATAATCTCAAATAGTATATTATTCAGATTTTGTTTTTAAAAAGAGATAAACCTATAAGAGATCACTCCAATTTAACTGTACATTAATTATTTGTAGCAAAACCCAATCCCTAATAAACATTTCAGCAAATGGATGGCTCTTCTACTGCCTGGGCACCCTCTGTGACAGCTTTGACACACTTGGCCATTGTCTGGGAGGCTCTGCTAATGGCATCTGAAAGATATTAAGAAAATGTGCATTTTGATAATATACCTCTTTTAAAAAAAGCACAGCAAAACTTTAATGTTGCACACATTTTTTTGAGGGGGGAGGAAGACTGTAAGGTTCTGTGCAATTATATGTAGCCAACAAATTCCAAAGATAAGCCCCTTCCTGGCTAATGGCTTTTAATGATTACCCCCTAGGAATAATTAAATAATCACAGAACAGTTAGATGACACACCAGTATGCAACCAGTAAAAAATTATAGGAAAGGCTGGACACAGTGGCTCATGCCTATAATCCCAGCACATGGGAGGCTGAGGCAGGTGGATTGCCTGAGCTCATAGGTTTGAGACTAGCCTGAGCCAGAGGGAGACCCTGTCACTAAAAATAGTCAGGCGTTGTGGTAGGCACCTGTAGTCCCAGCTACTTGGAAGGCTGATGCAAGAGGATCACTTGAACCCAAGAGTTTGAGGTTGCTGTGAGCTAAGATGCCACAGCACTCCATCAAGGGTGACTAAGCGAGACTCTGTCTCAAAAACAAAAACAAAAACAAAAAACCACCATACATACATATATATATGTGTGTGTGTGTATATGAAAGTAGCCAAGTATAATGGCTCAAGCTTGCAATTTTTTTTTTTTAAGACAGTCTCACTATGTTGTCCTCAGTAGAGTGCCATGGTGTCACAGTTCACAGCAACCTCAAACTCCTGGGCTTAAGCAATTCTCTTCCCTCAGCCTCCCAAGTAACTGGATTAGAGGTGCCCGACACAACGCCTGGCTATCAAACCTGCAATTCAACACTCTGGAAGGCCAAGGTGGTAGGACTGGTTGAGGCTAGGAGTCAAAGACCAGCCTAGGCAACATAGAAAGTAAGATCTCTGGCTTAGTGCCCATAGCTGAGTGGTTAGGGTACCAGCCACATACAATGGGGCTGGAGGTTTTGAACCCGGCCAGGGCCTGCTAAACAACAATGACAACTACAACAAAAAAAAATAGCCAGGTATTCTTTTCTTTTCCGACAAAAACACCAAATGGCGGATGACGCAGGTGCAGCGGGAGGGCCTGGAGGCCCTGGGGGCCCTGGAATGGGAGGCCGTGGTGGTTTCCGTGGAGGCTTCGGCAGCGGCATTCGAGGCCGGGGTCGCGGCCGTGGTCGTGGTCGGGGCCGAGAAAAAAAAAAAAAATAGCCAGGTATTGTGGTGGGCATCTATAATCCTAGCTACTTGGGAGGCTGAGGCAAGAGAGTTGCTTAAGCCCAAGAGTTTGAGGTTGCTGTGAGCTGTGACACCACAGCCCTCTACAGAAGGCAACATAGTGAGATTCTGTCTCAAAAAAAAAAAAAAGAGGCTCAGGGCCTGTAGCTCAAGTGGCTAAGGCATCAGCCACATACACCAGAGCTGGAAGGTTCAAATCCAGCCTGGGCCCACCAAACAACAACAACTACAAACAAAAAATAGCTGGGTGTTGTGGTGGGCGCCTGTAGCCCCAGCTACTTGGGAGGCTGAGGCAAGAGCCTTGCTTAAGCCTAGGAATTGGAAGTTGCTGTGAGTTGTGATGCCACGGCCCTCTACCCAGGGCAAGAGCTTGAGGTTCTGTCTCAAAAAAAAAGAAAAAAGAAAAAACCTTAGCTGGGCATGAGTCTGATGGTATGTGCCTGAAGTCCTACCTACTAAGGAAGCTGAGGCAGGAGAATTGCCTAAGCCTAGGAGTTCAAGGCTATAATGAACTATGATCATGCACTGTGCATCAATTGGGGCAAGATGCTGTCTTTAAAAACGTAAGTATAATAATAATTAACTTTTTTTTTTTTCGTGACATAATCTCACTCTGTTGCCCAGGCTAGAGTGCCATGGAGTCAGCTTAGATCAGAGCAACCCCAAATTCCTGGGTTCAAACAATCCTCTTGCCTCAGCCTCCCAAGTAGCTGGGACTACAGCTACTATTATTTCTCACCCACCTATTACTTCTATTTTTAGTACAGACAGGGTCTCACACTTGCTCAGGCTGGTCTCGAACTCCTGAGCTCAAGGGATCCTCCTGCCTCAGCCTCCTAAAGTGCTAGGATTACAGGCATTAGCCTGGTTATAATTTTAAAAATTTTATATTTAAAGTCTAAAACTTTGCTTATATTTCAAAAACAAAAAACTTTAACATATAATCAGAAAATACAATTACATTAGTCCCAAAGTTTCCTTTGAAGGTTAACAATGCCAAATACTACCAATCACAGGTTGAAATTATAATCCTAAATGAAGCAATTTGATTCCTTTTCACCTTTCACTTTTGGCAGAGTTATGCTGGCAGTTAACATACCTGTCATGTAGAAGTCTTTTATGGTTAGCTGAGGTGGAACAAGTGGGTCAGCAAGAAGTTGCTGGTTCACTAGCTGCACATAAAAGTAGACCAATAATAGTATTAAAAACTAGTACTGTTATACCAGTAGATAACATCATTATGAAAAGTACACATAGCCAAGCTTTTACCTTGGACAGTTCATTTGCCTGCTGAAAGTAGTTAGCCCCTTCAACATCATCATATCGAACAAGATTAGGAGAGACTTCCTCCAATCTGTTCCTCACTTGATCCAGAGTATCATATGGAAGAGTTATACCTGCAATCTGTAATATACCAGGTATTAAAAAGACATACCAGGTATGTCTCAAAAAATGACATGAAGCTATAATATCTTAAAATGTCAAATAATATATAATTGTAACCATGGTGAAATAATGTAATACTACTGAAAAATCTACTGCTGTCCATTGGCAGTCACGTGTTCATTACGGATGTAGGTAAGTGGGAAACACAATATCAAAAACTCAAATTCATGGCTTGGTGTTTGCAGCACAGTGGTTATGGCACCAGCTACATGCACCAAAGCTGGCAGGGTTGAACCTGGCCCAGGCCAGCTTAAACAACAATGACAATTGCAACAAAAAAATAGCTAGGTGTTGTGGTGGGCACCTGTAGTTTCAGATACTTGGGAGGATGAGGCAAGAGAAATGCTTAAGCCCAAGAGTCAGAGATTACAATGAGCTGTGATACCATGGTACTCTACCCAGGGCGACATAATGAGACTCTGTCTCAAAAAAAAAAGTAACAATTTCAAATCTGTATTTCTGTACCCTCAATGAATCCCAAACAAACAAACAAACAAATCTGGGGCGGCACCTGTGGCTCAGTGGGTAGGGCGCCAGCCCCATAAACAGCCCCATATACCGAGGGTGACAGGTTTGAACCCGGCACGGGCCAAACTGCAACAAGAAAACAGCCGGGACATTGTGGCGGGCACCTGTAGTCCCAGCTACTTGGGAGGCTGAGGCAAAAGAATCACCTAAACCCAAGAGCTGGAGGTTGCTGTGAGCTGTGATGCCACAGCTCTACCAAGGGTGACAAAGTCAGACTCTGTCTCTTAAAAAAAATCTGTATTTTGTAAATACATTTTTCGTATAGAAAATATGTAAATCATCTCTGCATTTCGGACTGTCAATTCTTCTTGACCTTGAAACTCATTCCAACAAGCTAACATGCTAAATGTCCCTTTAAGCAGCATTATTAAGAAATGCTTCAAAAATAATACCTCAGAAAGGGCTCTTATAATTTTCCAATCTTCTCTTGCCAAGCCAGGAGGTGTCACTGCTACTTTAGTCTGCTGAGCTCTGCCCTCCATATTGACATAAGTAGCAGATTTCTCTGTGTAAGCAGCTCCTGGGAAGATGACATCAGCTATGGGAGCTCCAACGTCACCATGATGTCCTGTAAGAAGATGAAAAACAGCAAACAACATTTTAGTAAAAAACTGATTTGCTACTATACATGAAAATGGTATAAATCCTTTTAAATCCCTTTTTTTTAATTGCAGAAGTATTTTTAGCACACCCAGGCTGGGCTCAAACCCGCTAGCCTTGGTGTATGTGGCTGGCGCTCTACTCCTACTCACTCAGCTATAGCTGCTGAGCCAGCAGAAGTATTTTTAAAATTAAAATAATATAGTAGAGAAGAAATAAAAATTAAAGCCAATCTCACACCCAATTCAACTTTCTTTCCAAGTAAAATTACCATTAAAGCATCTGGTATGTATTCTCGGAGACTATTTTATGCAAATATGTATAATGTTAATACACAGATATTTAATGGGCACCTAAGTATACTGATGCTTACAAAATGGAAACGGTCACAAAGTGGAAATGCTCAGATGTACCAGTTAGTGAAAACTGGCAAAGTAGACTGCAATGGAGGAGGAACACAAAGTACAGAAGAGAACATGAACAATAATAATACTGGAAAATGCATAAACAGAAAATGATAGGCGAAGCACAGTGGCTCATGCTTGTAATCTTGGCATTTGGGGATGCTGAGGCAAGAGGATTGCTGGAGGCCACGAGATTGAGGCTGCAGAAAGCCACTGCCTTCCAGCTAGTATGCACAACACAGCAAGACTCCATCTCAAAAAAAAAAAAAAGAAAAGAGACAGAGAGAACGGAAATTGATTGAAAATACTATTCTGTAAGACTCACTCATTAACAGTTCAACAAGACTGGTAAGCTCAAAAAGAAACTTGACCTTTAGGAATAGACCTGAGTTAAGTAAAAGAAAGTTAGAGAATAATATAATACATGTAAAGTTTGATCTCGGCTCGGCACCTGTAGCAGTGGTTACAGCGCCAGCTACATACACCGAGGGTGGTGGGTTCAGACCCAGCCCCGGTCAACTAAACAACTGCAACAACAATAACAAAAAAAAAGCCAGGTGTTGTGGCAGGCGCCTGTAGTCCCAGCTACTTGGGAGGCTGAGGCAAGAGAATAGCTTAAGCCCAAGAGTTTGAGGTTGCTGTGAACTATGATGCCATAGCACTCTACTGAGGGCCACAAAATAAGACTGTCTCAAAAAAAAATAAATAAATAAGAGTTTGATCTCATTTGTGTATATGGTTGTTTACATACAGGAAGATGTGTCTAGTGTGCATATAAAAACCATTACCAATGATTATCTCTGAAAGGACTAGGAACAGGATTTTAGTTGATAACATTTTGGTTTAACTTTATCAAACTAAAGATAAAAAATATTGCACAATGTTTTTATATGCCATTGCAATACAAAGCCTAATTTGAGTATATGGTGTGCATGTGTAAAATGAAGCAGTTATGCAATACTTTTCTCCATGAACATCAGAAATACCCTTCACTCCATCTATTCCAGGGAAACTTGATTACAGTAATTCTAGCACTCTGGGAGGCCCAGGTGGGTGAATAGCTTGAGTTCACAAGTTTGAGACAAGCCTGAGCCAGGACAAGACCCGTCTCTATTAAAAATAGGAAAACTGGAGGCGCTTGTAACTCAGTGGGTAGGGTGCTGGCCACATACACTCACCCAGGTTGGCGAGTTCAAACCTGGCCCAGGCCAGCTAAACATCAAAGACCACTGCAATATAAAAACACCCAAGCATTGTGGCAGGCGCCTAGCTACTTGGGAGGCTGAGGCAAAGAGAATTGCTTAAGCCCAAGCGTTTGAGATTGCTGTGAGCTGTTGAAGCCATGGCAGTCTACCGAAGGTGACATAGTGAAACTGTCTCAAAAAAGAAAAAAAAAATTGAGGCAAGATGATTGCTTGAGCCCAAGAGTTGGAGGTTGCCGTGAGCTATGACATTACAGCACTCTACCTAGAGCAACAGCTTGAGACTCTGTCTCAAAAAAAAAAAAAAAAAAAAAATAGAAAAACTGAGGCAAGATGATTGCTTGAGCCCAAGAGTTGGAGGTTGCCGCGAGCTATGACATTACAGCACTCTACCTAGAGCAACAGCTTGAGACTCTGTCTAAAAAAAAAAAAAAAAAAAAAATAGAAAAACTGAGGCAAGATGATTGCTCGAGCCCAAGAGTTGGAGGTTGCCGCGAACCATGACACCATAGCACTACCCAGAGCAACAGCTTGAGACTCTGTCTCAAAAAAAAAAAGAAAAAAAGAAAGAAACTTGATTTACATTTATAATGAGTGAAAATTCAAGCAAATGAACCAAACCCAGAGTTTGGTTTACAGAAGCTGAGCCTTTTCATACTATTTATATAAAACTGCTTTCCCTCTGGCTCAGCACCTGCGGCACAGTGGTTACAGTGCCACCCACATTGAGGCACTGAGGCTGGTGGGTTTGAACCCAGCCCAGGCCTGCTAGACAACAGTGACAACTTCAACAACAAATAGCCAGGCATTGTGGCAGGTGACTGTAGTTCCAGCTACTTGGCAAGAGAATCACTTAAGTCTAAGAGTTTGAGGTTGCTGTGAGCTGTGATACCATACTCTATCGAGGATTACATACTAAGACTCTGTCTCAAAAATAAGGCTCGATATCTGTGGCTCAAAAAACGGCAAAGGCGCCATGCACATACACCTGAGCTGGTGGGTTCAAATCCAGCCTGGGCCCGCCAAACAAAGATGGCTGCAACTGAAAAATAGCCGGGCATTGTGGCAGGCGGCTGTGGTCTCAGCTACTTGGGAGGTGGAGGCAGGAGAATTGCTTGAGCCCAGGAGTTGGAGGTTGCTGTGAGCTATGATGCTACAGCACTCTACCCAGGGTGACAGCTAGGGGCTCTGTCACAAAAAAAATAAAATAAAATAAAGTGCTTTCCCTTGATTTTTATAAGTGTTTAATATTCTTTGAAAAATTGACTTTTAATGTTTATTATGCTATTTCATAGGTTAGACTATAATTTAACCATTCTATTATAGGGAATTTAGGTTGCTTCTAATTCTCCTGAAGGTTATTTTTTGGGGGGACAGGATCTCTGCTAACTAGAATGCAGTGGTGTCATCATAGCTCACTACAATCTCAAATTCCTGGGCTCAAATAATCCTCCTGCCTCAGCTTTCTGAGTAGCAAGGACTTTAAGTATGTACCACCACACCCAGCCAGTTTTTCTGCTTTTTTGTAGAGATGAGTCTTGCTATATTGCTCAGGTTGCAGGCAGTAATTTCTTTCTTTTTTTTGAGACAGTCTCACTTTGACACCCTCGGTAGAGTATCGTGGCATCACAGTTCACAGTAACCTCAGACTCCTGGGTTTAAACAATTCTCTTGCCTCAGCCTCTTGAGTAGCTGGGTCTACAGGTGTTCACCACAATGCCCGGCTATTTTTAGAGATGGGGATCTCGCTCTTGAGCAGACTGTTTTTGAACCTGTAAGCTTTAGCAATCCACCCTTCTCAGCCTCCTAGAGTGCTAGGATTACAGGCATGAGCCACAGTGCCCAGCTGTAGGCAATCATTCTTTTTTTTTTTTTTTTTTTTTTTTTTTTTGAGACAGAGCCTCAAGCTGTCCCCCTGGGTAGAGTGCCGTGGCATTACAGCTCACAGCAACCTCCAACTCCTGGGCTCAAGCGAGTCTCCTGCCTCCACCTCTCAAGTAGCTGGGACCACAGGCGCCCGCCACAACGCCCGGCTATTTTTTGTTTGCAGCCGTCATTGTTGTTTGGCGGGTCCGGGCTGGGGATTCGAACCCGCCACCTTAGGTGTATGCGGCTGGCGCCTTAGCCAGTTGAGCTATAGGCACCGAGCCCAGCAATCATTCTTAATAGCAGTATCAATTATGTAACTAGTAACATTTATAGTTTGGTTTAAACAACCTGGTGGCTGTGGGGGGAGGCCAAATACACAAATGAAAAATACCCAGTCCATAAATACACTGCCAATGGTTTCTATTTATTATTATTATTATTATTTGAGATAGAGTCTCAAGCTGTCACCTTGGGTAGAGTGTCATGGCATCACAGCTCACAACAACCTCAAACTCCTAGACTTAAGCAATTCTCTTGCCTCAGCCTCCCAAGTAGCTGGGACTACAGGTGCCCACCACAACGCCTGGCTATTATTTTTTTTATTGTTGTTGTCATTGTTGTTTAGCAGGCCCAGGTCGGGTTTGAACCTGCCAGCCTGGGTGTATGTTGCCGGCACCCTAACTACTAAGCTACGGGCGCCACTCCAAATGGTTTCTAATATACATAATCACAGGTGATACCTTGATAAATAATAAAACAATCCTTTGGCAAATCCTGTCGTGTGATACAACCTCCATCTGCTCCTAGGAGAAACAGTACTTTAGGCGGGTTCTTGCGAATTGCTTCCACCCCTGCTTTATAGCCAAGGTCCAAAGCAGCTACTTGATTCGCAACCCTGTAAAACAATTATGAATTTTAGCATAACAGCCATATTTTCAGTATAAAAAAATTAAATGTTTATTACTCTAAAATTCTTAGAATAATGTCTAATCTCTTTTTCATTCATGCTGTCAAAGAATCTTTTCCACTTAAAATAGATGTCAAAACCAGAAAAACAAGTCTTTTATTGCTTTGAGAATGGCAAACAGATATAAGATGCTTAAGACACTGTGTCTTTTCATGAGGTAATATTCAATAATTTTAGAAACTTTATGCCAACTGTAATTGCCTTAAATTTGACTCTTATTCAGTATATTAAGACACAAAACACATACTCATTGGAGAAAAGTCACGATTTCAAAACCAAACAGGAGAAATTTAAACTCATACAATTGTAATTCAGAAAAAAATCAGAATTAATACACTGGTATAGGCCCTTATAAAATTTTTCTATAAATATGCATTACTACTCTTACAAGAGGTAAGTAATATTTTAAAAAGGAGGTCTGGCTCGGCGCCTATAGCTCAACCAGCTATGGCGCCAGCCACGTACACCTAAGGTGGCGGGTTCGAATCCCCAGCCCGGACCCGCCAAACAAC